AAGTAAGCGCCACCAAAACGCTGCGGGATTAAGGACAGGGAATGCATGCGCTCGCGGAAAAAAGGGTGCTTGCGTTCAACGAACTGCAACGGTTGCGCTCCGCCAAAATACTCAGGATTGGCAGAGGGGGCGATGTCATGCACATCTGCCAAGTTAAACTCAGCACTGCTGACGCCCAGCTGCCACTTGTGGTTAAGCGAGCTGCCTGCCATCTGCTCAGCGCAGCGCATCCAGCGCGGAACGGGGCCCATTCTGCACGCGACGGGCACATCAGAGGGAAAGCGACGAGGAACTCGCACGGCACGGTATTTGAGCCCAGCTTGCGGTAGCAACGGCAGCGCGAGAACGACTGGAAAGTGAAGAACCGCGCCAGCATCTGGGACTATTTCAACAGTGGCGCTGTGCGCCAAAGACTGCGAAACAACGAAGTAACCGATGATCCTCTCAGCATAGACGGAGGAGTTAGTGCACGCAGCAGTAGATTGGAAGAGACAGACACCGTCAACCGCCTCAACCCACCGACTGCCTTGAAACTCCTCAGGTGGCATCTGGAAGCCGCCACGAACAACACATGGCAGGCCTGCAGTTTTGAGAACCTGCCCAACACCAGTGAGGATGCTCCAGCTGTTCTTCGAGAGGCCTTCAGGGTGGCGCAAGTAAGCGTTGACCAACAAGAACCCCAAGGGGGTGAGACCGTGGCTGCGCAACATCCTGATCCTACCTCCGCGCAACACACTGTCATTACACTCAGCCTCAGCCAGCCATGAGGCGGCTGGCACACACTGCAGGAGCCCTCCTGATGTGCCTCCACTCGACGTGGCGGAGGCGGCTGTGAAGGTCGCCCTCCGCCCCATGGTGCGAAGCCTGCGCCCCCGCGCGTCGCACTGCGCTCTGAGTACGCGATGATCCTGCATAGCAATTGCGCGAGCACCTCGAATACGATCGCAGAAGCGCCGCTTCAAGTCCGCTGCGCCCTGCGACGCTAACAGCGACAAGGCCCATGCTAAAGATTCGCTTCAGCCATGCCATCCACGCGAGCCTTCTTCTTGACAACTTTCGAGGAGCTGGTCGACGATGCCGATGCCTTTGACCAAGTCATGCTTGACGCCATGCTGCTCAGCAATGTCGTTCGCATGCTGCCCTTCGCGCTGCAGCTCGATCCAGCGCAGGAGTTCCGCGTGCGACTGCTGGGCGCGGGCTCGCACCGCGGCGGCGTCGGCGGCGGCGGCTCTGGCTGCCCTCTGCGCCTCCGCCTGCGCCATGGCGATGGCCTCGCGGTCGAGGCCGGCGGCGGGGGCGCCTGGCGTCGGAGCGGCTGCGGGCGCGGCAGCGGCAGGGGCCCGATCAGGCTGCTGCAGCTCAGGAGCAGCAGCGGCGGTAGCAGCAGGAGGGCCAGCACCACCTGCAGCAGCCGCAGACAGAGCGCCAGCATCGTTGTCGACCATGACGACGCCGGGCTTCGCCAGCTCCTGCAGCACAGGCACCGGCGCCTGCAGCTGCTGCGCGAAGGCCGCCAGCCTGGGGTCCGCCTTGAGCCCGTCCGCCAAGGCCGAGAGCGCGAGGGCGAGATTCGAGCTCGTCGCCATGCCCTGGTAGGCCTTGGCTGCTCGCGCGGCTGCCTCCGCGCAACGCTCCGCGGCCTCCTCGAGCTGCTTCTTGGCGGCGGCTGCAGCCGTGACGGCCTTCAGCGCTGCCTCCTGAGCGCGATCGTAGGCTCGCTGAGCCTTGTCGCGCTTGTCGGCCAAGACATCCTACTCGATCCTGGCTGAGCGCGCCTCCGCGCGTGGTTCCCCAGCCAGCAGCGCGCGATGGGAGACCACCGTGGCGACCAGCTTGGGAGTCCACTCGGCAGAGATCGTCTCAAAGTCCGCGGGCTCGAGCTTCGCGTAGATCTCGATGGCCGAGGGGTCGAGGAAAGAGACCGTGCCCTGAGCCTGAGCCGCGCCGCCCATGCCGCCGCCTGAGCCGCCGCCGCGCAGGCCGCCGCCGCCGCCAGCCTGCGGCGGGCCCTGCAGCCACGCGCCGAGGGCGCGCGCGCCCGCCGCCGAAGGCGCTGGGCCCGCAGGCGCAGGGCGGCCGCACACACGGCAGTGCGTGCGAGCGAGAAAATTGAAGCGGTAGCCGCACCGCCTGTGCTGACATCGCCAGGTATCGAAGGAGCCGCCGCCATGCCGCTGCGGGGTCATACGAGCCTGACAGAGCCAAGAGACGAAGGATGCCAACACTCGCGTCCGACCAGGTGACGAGACGTGACAGTGGCACTACGGACTTGAGCCAAAATGGCTACGGATCCTCCTCCCCATCCTCCTCCCCCTCCTCCTCCCTCCCTTCCTCCTCCATTCCTCCTCCTCCTCCTCCTCCCTCCTCCTCCTCCTCCTCCTCCTCCTGCCTCCTCCTCCTCCTCCTCCTCCTCTCCTCCTCCTCCTCTCCCTCCTCCTCCTCCTCCTCCTCTTCCTCCTCCTCCTCGTCCTCCTCCTCCTCCTCCTCCTCTCCTCCTCCTCCTCCTCCTCCTCCTCCTCTCCTCCTCCTCCTCCTCCTCCTCCTCCTCCTCCTCCTCCTCCTCCTCCTCCTCCTCCTCCTCCTCCTCCTCCTCCTCCCCCTCCTCCTCCGCCTCCCGCGCTGTCGAGCGGCATGGCGCACCAGGCCACCCCCCGCCGCCATGGCACTGCGGCCGCCGCCCGCGGCCCGCGGCGGCTGCCGGGGCGGCCGCCGCCACGGCCGCCTTCGCCGCGGCTCGCTGCCACGACGCGCCGCCGCGGCCTTCGCCGTGACCGCGGGCAGCGCCGCGGCAGCCAGGCGGGCCGTGGCGCACGCCGGCCCGGGTGCGGCGGCGGCTGCCGCGCTCGCCGGCGCCGCCACGCCGGGCACCTCGGCCGCGGCCGGCGGCGCCGCCGTCGCCCTGGCGTTCCGCCGGTGCGCCCGGCAGCGGGCGCTTGCGGGCGCTTGGCCGCGGCAGCGCGGGTCGCACGTGCCGGAGCCGGAGGGGATCCGATCGAGACGTGCGTGGTGATTGGCAAGGTGGACGTCTGAAACTTGTCCACCTGCGCTGCGTCGAGGAGCCGTCATTGCGGGAGGGGGGGCTTTCGGGGAGGTGGCGGGTGGAGCACCCAGACTGATGGCACGGAGCTTCATACCCAGCTTTGTGAGTTTGACACAATGTCTCGGGCTTGGAAGGTCAACCAGTTCAACGCAGGGACTTGGCCACAAAAAGGTCGACCTTTGTGTGATGCTTGATTTGTCTGGGGGGCCTTTAAAGTTATATCTATTTCGCAGGGAGCGAACTTAACAAGCAACATCAAAGGCCCGAGAACCACACTCACACACGAACCGCTGCAAGAGCGGCGGCAGATTGATGGCATGCGCCCCACTGGCAAACTACTTGGACTGGAACTGTATCGTGTTCTTATCGCTTGCCGTACCCCCAGAGATGGTTTCTGCTGTCGCCGGTGGTGCCCTCGGTCTTCACGGCACGTGCCCCATGTATATCGCAGATTGCTACGGCATCATTGGTTTCGACAAGGCCGCCTGTTCCAACATCGAACTGATGGAGAAGGGCCGCAGGCAGGAGCACGGCTGCCCTGGCGGCAGCGGCGGCGAGGGGGCCGCCGTGGTCGCCTTCCGCGGCGACCGCGCGCTGCCACGGGGGAGGCCTGCCCCGAGGCGGCGCGCTGCACGTGGTGGCCACCAGCGCAGGACAGCACTCGGCGCTGCGGGCCGGCGCCCTCTGCGGCGGAGTCGCGCAGGCGTGCTGCCAGCGAAAGCACTGCGACGACCATGGCCTCCGCCCCGCGGCTCGCTCCGAGCGCGCCGGGGGCGGAGGCGTCTCGAGCTCCACCCGGCCGGGGCCACGGCGGGCGCCCCGCCAGGGGCGGCCGGCGTGCCCATGGCCGCGGGCTGCTTCCCCTGCTCCTGCCGGGAGGGGCGGCTGCGAGGAGGGGCCGGCTGCCTCCGCCGCCTCCGCCGCGGTTGCCCCTTCTCTTCCGCTGCCTCCGCTGTGCCAGCCCCAGCTGCCGCTGCACGACGACGACGACGACGACGACGACGAGACGACGACGACGACGACGACGACGACGACGACGACGACGACGACGACGACGACGACGAAGACTGCCTCTGCCTCGAGCTGGGTGCGTTCGCGGAGTAATGGCCTGAAGGACGTGGTATTCTTCGGCACGTTTGCGCACGTCGAGCTGGTCCGGGCTCAGGGAGCACGGGTCTCGTGCCCGGCGGAGGAGGCGACGCCGACCTCTGTGGAGATGCATTCCGTGACTTCAGAGCGGTGGTGGTATATACGGCAGCTGAAATCAGGCGCTGTAGATGGCAGGCAGGGCGCCAGGAAGTGCCATTCGGCAACAGCGGTAACGTGCAGAAAACAACTGTGCCCTCTCGCAGAGGGGCCGCGGGGCCGAGTGCGCCCGAGCGGACGCAATCATGTCGTACGAGCAGAAAGCCCAGCGGCAGCAGCGACGCAGGCGTGCGGGGGGGGGGGGGGGGGGCGAAACGAACCCACTTGAGGAGGAGGAGGACGAGGACGTGGACGAGGAGAAGGAGCAGGACGAGGAGGGAGACAAGGAGCAGAGGGTCCCCTCTTTCTCCCCCTCGTGTGCTTCCTCCTCCTCCTCCTCCTCCTCCTCCTCCTCCTCCTCCTCCTCCTCCGCGTACACCCTCCCTCCCTCGCAAAATCGTTACAGCGATACTGCTGCCTGTCTTGAGCAGACCGCTCAGCTACGTTGGCTGCACGCCCTGTGCCAAACATCGCAGCTCGCCAAAGCTGGTTGCTGTGACAAGCTATTGCCTCTATCAGCCCCTGTCACTATAGTCCTCTTCCTGTACTCCTCCCCCCTCCAACGTACTCCTGATCCTGATCCCCCTCGTGCCCCGCCTGCTCCTACTCATCCTCCTACGACTCGCCCCTTCTCATCATCCTCAGATGTCACTGACCCTCATCGTTCCCCTGCTCCTGCTACGCCGTCTCGTTCTCCTCCTACGGCCTTGCCGAGGGCTGGCATGCCCCGGATCGCGCGTGCTGGGCGACGATATCATCATCGGCAGGATTTGGCGTCTCCCCCAGCTCATGGGCAAGCGCCCCGCTTTGAAGAGGGAATGGGAAGGGGGGAAGAGGAGGAGGAGGAGGAGGAGGAGGAAGAAGAAAAAGAAGAAGAGCAGAGGAACGTGGCCGGAGCAGGGAGAATATGGGGAGTAACAACAGCGGGAGCAAGAATAGTAAGAAGATGGGGAGGAGGTAAAGGGGAGGAGGAGGAGGCATAGCAGCAGCAGGAGGAGGATAGAGGGGCGGGGAGGGAAAGGAGGGGAAGTTCAAGAGGAACGGTGGAGGAGGAGGAGGAGGAGGAGAAGAGGGAGGGGACGATTCCTACCCTGCCGTCCGAACCCTAAACCCTATCCGGTGAACGATGCTCGGTGATATCCCTGCTGAACTTGCTGAAATGAAAATTAAATGCTTGTTTGGTGCCATCGGGTGAGTCTCCGCTGGCAAAAAGGAGTTGGAGGAGGAGGGGAACCAAGAGGAAAGGGAGGAACGGAGGAGGAGGAGGAGGAGGGGAACGAGGAGGAGGAGGGGGGAAGGGAGGGAGGAAGGAAGGGAGGAGGAGGACGACGACGTTGACGAGGAAGAGAAAGCCGAAGAGAACGAGAAAGAGGGAGGGAGAAGTGTAAGGAAGAGGAGGAGGAGGAGGAGGAGGAGGAGGAGGAGGAGGGGTAGGATGAGATGTACTTCAATATGCATCAGCGGAGCTGCAAGACACCCTCCCGTCCCAGAGTCTCTTCCGCACGAGTCCCTCCAAGTAGTGCGCTTCACTGTGGGAGGCGCCCCCTTTTGACAGACGAAGGCCCTGTTGGGCTTGCCAGTCCCGCTAGACCCCGTTCAGAGAGTTCCGGAAGGTGTCATTGTATGCTCCTCCTCCTCCTCCTCCACCTCCTCCTCCTCCTGACCACTTCCAGTTTCCTGACTCTTCGCGTATCCCCACTAGTCTTGCCTGCCGGTTGCGATGGGTTGCTGGCCAGGCGGTCGCCCCGTGCGGTATCCCCCCGCCGTGGAGTCGCTCTCCGTGTTCGCCAGGCATTGCACGCCGCTGACGTGTGGCGATTTCCCAATTCATCAGCAATTTTGGTTTGTGTCGAGTCCTCCCTCCTGTCCTCGTCGGCTCCGGCTTGAACTACCTGGTCTTCAGCGTCGTTTTCGCCAGCTGAGCTGCAGCATAGCCCGCTCCTGCTGCTCAGGGCCTAATTCAGCCCGCTGCTCGGCAGTTGCGCGTGTTCGGACGACGCGCGGTTGGACCGCGACGCGCGCGAAAAAAATATCCCCATCAGCCCATCCACCAGCGATGCCCAGGCGGGTGCCTTGATCAGGGAAGTGTAGGGAGCACGCAGTGGAGCAAAGAGGGGGGCTAGTGGGGGGGCTGCCGTCATGCAGATGATCGGTACCTGCCTGCAGGCGCATGAACCAATCATAACTACCTCCGCGGATCTTTCGATGTGGGAGCCTCTTGGCAGCTTATTTGAGCCATCGTGGGGGAGAGTTGGAGCCATATGACGGGGTATGTGGGGCCCTTGCGGGGCCCCATTGGAGCTCTTTTGGGGTTCCCTTTGGGACCCTCGGGGAACCTTTTGGGGGCAATTGTGTAAGACATCGGTGATAGAAAGGCTGTCATTGCAGCTACATGTATACATGATGTTGTTATATTCATATTTGTAAAGAGAAAGAGAGAGAGAGAGGGAACCTTGCGCGTGTGCTATAGCTGCGTGTATATGTCTCTCTACATATATACACATGCATGCATGCATGCATGCATCCGCATACACATGCGCATACATACATACACGCAGACACGCATGCATTCATGCATGCATACATACGTACGTGCGTGCGTATGCGTGTACGTACATGTGTACGCAATCATAGACGCATATATATATATATGTTGTTATATGAATGTATATATATGTATGTATGTATACATGCATGCGCCTATTTACAAATATTTGCACATACAGACGGGCATGTATACATATATGCACACATACATACATGCACACATACATACACTCATACATACATGCATACATACATACATATAGTCATGTATGTACACATACAAATATACAAATAAGATGTATACAAACAAACTGCACACATGCATAGCTATACACTTAGTCATATACAGGTTTGTATGTACACATACACAGACATAGCTACATTTATATGTATGCATAAATTCATATACAATCGTACAACACATAAATATAAGTATGTACACACAAACATGCGTGCATGCACGTATACCTGCAATCTATTCATACATATAAGCACGCGTGTATATATAACCAAGCACCTACAAACATTCATACATATATATATATACATATATGTGCAAGCCTACACACATATGTATGTACATACATGCATATATACATGTCTACATACAAACATACATACACACACGCACATGCATGTATACATGTACGCATATATGACTACATGTATGCGCATAAGCATTCATATACTACACGCGCACGCACAGTGGTTGAACGATTGCGTCGCTTCGCTTCAATATTGGCATGGATGCCGTAGGATGTTTGGAGGAATTGCGGTTGTTGTTCAGGTGTGGCCCACACGAAGATACAATTTCCACGAAACTGCAAGCCCATGAGAGCGCATCTGGGGGAGGTGGGCGTAGCACAATCCGAGGGGCGAGGCGGGCGAAAAAGATGCGAAGCCGCTCGTGGAGCTCGGGAGATGATCGGAAACGGCGGCCCGTGGAAGAGTAAAGCGTGGAGTCAAGGTTATGTGTTACACTACGGTTCTTGCGCCTTGTTTTGTTTCGATGGCCCTTGTGGGGGAGGGGGAGGGGTTTTGGACGTCATTTGCCCCGTCTTGAGTTGTGCAGTGTCGTACCCTGTGGTTGTTTTACCGGGGTTGTTTTATCATGGGCTGTCTTACCCATGGTTGTTTTGCCCGCAGTAATTTGGCCCAGCAGGGCTGTTTATCCCAAGGTTGCGTTACCAGGAGGTGTTCCATCCAGTGATTGTGTGACCTGGTCCGTGTCGGTGTCTAGACCCACTCGGCAGCCCTCAAGACCCCCCGGCCCCTCCCGAGCCTCGGGCCGCACAGTCGAACCCCAATCCTCAGACCCCACGCCGGCACCCCAGGATGCTTGCCCTGAACTGTTTGATCTGAAGTTGTTTGATCCCGAACTGTTTGACCCAGAACTGTTTGACCCGACGTTCTGCCCAGGGCTGTCTTACCTGGGGTTGTTTGACCTGGGGCCGTTTGACCTGGGGTTCCTCCCCCCGCGTTTCCCCCAGGGTTGTTTGACCCGGGCTGTTTCACCCGGTCGAACAGCCGCCCTCCTTTGTACCGTCGCGGTGGTCATCGCCAGATGTCTTGACCGTCTCCGAGAACAGATGGGGCATTTGGGGGGCCAGTGCGAAGGAAGTGCGACATCTTGGGACTCAAATTGTCTTACTCATCCAGCTTCCCCTGCTCATCCTCCGCATCCTCGATCTTCTCGTTCCGATTCCGCACCATCTTTCTCGTGCAGCGTCGACGGCTTGCGCGATTGTGTTCGCAGGACCACCGTGTTGCCCCCCGACATCAACAAAGACGTGAAGGTGGGCGTGCCAAAGTACGACCGAAAGGACGCGTCCGTGTGCGTCCGGACCGCGGAGGCCTTCTGCGAGGGGCGGCTGAGGAGAGGTGGGCAGTGGCATCCGAGTGTCATACATTAAAGAAGCTTGTTCAGGAAAAGGGGCACCGAGGTGCTTCGGAGCTTTCGGCCTCCTGGAGCCTTTCTTGGGCAAACAGCCTCTCCTCCTCCTCCTCCTCCTCCTACTCCTCCTCCTCCTCCCCCTCCTCATCCTCCTCGCCCCCCCTCCTTCTCCGATTCCCGCCTCATTCGTCCTTCTCCTCTTCCTCCTCCTCCTCCTCTTCCTCCTCCTCCTCCGACCGTCAAAGCGTAGTAATTCGGGATGACAAGCTGGTCCCAGGGAAAGCTTCGGTCGGAGTCCAGGTCCGTTTCCCTAGGACCCCTTTAAACCCTCATGGCAAGAGTGCGTGGTGGTTATCTGATGGCCTGTGGGCCACCTTGCCGCCGTACCCTGGAGCCTCCACGAGATCTCCGGGGGGCATCCAGGCGGTCTCACGGGGTCTACTGGAAGTTCTTGCGAATTGTTCGTCGGTTCTTAAGGATGATAGTGGGTCGTGGGCAGCTGACCTGGCGCACCCGCTGAGAAGGTTAAAACGATCAACTAAGTTCTTCCACGCGGAGATCCCCATTTCACAAATTCCATAAGATTGCCTTGGGACTCTGTAGGAAATTCATAGGGGTCCTTATTAAGACATCCATAGGATTCCTTCGGAAATCCATGGGGATCCATAGGAAATCCATAGGATGCCCTAGGACATCCATAGGATTCCTTTGGAAGTCCATCGGAATCCTTAGGAACCTTTGCTACTCAACATAAGAAGGGAGCAACATCGATTCGCAACTTTCCCCCGCGATAATCAAGTTCGGCCTTGCCGCCTCTCTTTCCTGACCAAACTTGTATTGGCCAGGGATAATCAACTCTCAGGTGGAAGAGGGGGGGTCATCATTACCGGGAGGTGGGGGATAGAGGCGCATCTGAGCGCGAGCGAGTCTGAATTCGAGTGGGCAGGTATCCGAGTAAAGTGAATGATTCGTTGAAGTGAAGCCTCGAGGTCGGAAGGGGCTCGGTGGTTCCTTAGGCTTGCACGCGTTCCGTTGCTTTTTCGGTGGCGAGCCCCTTCGGTGTTCCTGAAGTTGTAACACGCGCAGATTCGTTTTGTCGATCAGGGCGGTTGGTCGAAGCATCAGGGCTCCTTGGGGTTCCACTGGGGAACAGATGGAATTCGTTCCGATTGGGTCGTTTCGTATTTCAGAAGCCCGACAGTACGTGCGAGTCTGCGTATAAGCGCCTGGATGTGAATGGGTCTGGGCGCGAGTGAGTTGGCGTATGTGTGGTTGGGCATAAGCAATTCTTGAGGTTTAGGGATGTCTCCACAATCCGAGTGCGACTGGCTCAGTGTCATGCCCCATGGTGGCTCCCCACTTGGTGGCTGAAGTTCCGTACTCATTAAATTGCGGTGATCGTGGGGTTCTGAAGAGAGGTTTGCCTGCTAGGGTATAACAGGCGCTTCCGGTGGGATGTTCCCGCACTGTGAGTGCAAGCGGGCCAGTGCCATACCTCTTGACGTTTCCCCAATTGGGTGGCTGAAATGCTACGCTTGCTATATGGCGGTGGCCATGAGGCTCTGAGGAGTGACTTGTCGAATGGGCCAACACAGGCGTTTTGCTTGAGAAGTCCCCATAGTCTGAGCGCGAACGGCACAGTGTCATACACCCTGGCGCCTCCCTTGGGTGGCCCTTGAGTGCGAGTGAGTTTGGTACGAGCGAGTGTATCAGAGAACATGGGTATGAGTGAGGCTGAGGTTGCGCTGGATCTGACAACGAGCGGGTCCGAGCCTGAGTAAGCCTCAGTGAGTCTGAGTACTGTTTCGTCTGAGAATGTGCGTCTGTATGAGTGTGAGGTCGAGTGAATGCGCACGAGTCTGAGTACGAGAACGAGTTGGTCCTGAGCATGAGGAGACTGCAGTAAGAATGGGTCTGAGTACTAAGTCAGCCAGGTCGAGCGAGGCTGGGACGCCTCGCACGGGAGGGAGGGGCGATCTGCCGGGCCTAGGTGGCCTAGCAGTTAGCAGGAGTAGATATTGATTCAAGCCAGCCAGGTCGAACGAGTCAGCAGGCCCCGCCCAGTCCCATGTTCCCGCTCGTAATTTCGGATGCAACTCCTGTGGAGTCAAATTTTGATTTTGCCCTGGTCCAAAATCCGGCTTGATCCCGCTTTATCCGGCTTGATCTCGCTAAATCCGGCGATGTCCCAGATCCGAGGCCTAATCTGGCGCAACAGCCGCCCAATGGGGCTTAATCTTCCTCCGTCCTTCCGACGGAGACCTCCCAGTAGTGACCTCCTAACGTAACGCAACGACCAATGGTGGCACAGTTTGATGCTGGGACCTGAACGCGCTTCCACCTAGCTCTGCACGAACGAAACGGGCACGGAAAGAATGGGTACGATGCCCAACAGCAGTTCCTGCTCATCCTGAACAGGACTCGCTGTCCGCGCCGCCGCGGCCTGTGTCCATTCGAGACAGCAGGCCGCCTGCCCGACAGCGGCCGCTGTTTGCTTGGGACAACTTTTGCTGTTGGGCATTGTACCCATTCTTTCCGTACCCATTCCGGGCGTCCAAACTGGAGGAGGAGGAGGAGGAGGAGGAGGAGGAGGAGGAGGAGGAGGAGGAGGAGGAGGAGGAGGAGGAGGAGGAGGAGGAGGAGGAGGAGGAGGAGGAGGAGGAGGAGGAGGAGGAGGAGGAGGAGGAGGAGGAGGAGGAGGAGGAGGGAGGAGGAGGGGGAGGAGGAGGAGGAGGAGGAGGAGGAGGAGGAGGAGGAGGAGGAGGAGGAGGAGGAGGAGGAGGAGGAGGAGGAGGAGGAGGGGCGGGAGGCGCTCGCGCGCGGTCCCGCCTCGGCCGATCCGGCGAGTCCCGGGCCCGAGGCGGGCCCGAGGCTGCCCCGGGACGGCCTCGGGCCCCGTCGTGTTCTGCTGCTCCTCCTCCCCCCTTTTCCCCCTCCTCTCCCTCCCTCCACACTTACTCAATATGAATACTACTCTCCCTCTTCCCTTGATGACGGTTTTTTGAAAGTGCTCGACCCCCCCCGCGTATTGTTTTTGTACACAGGTTTCCCCGGAGTTGGGGGCTTCGCCTGCATGTGCTTCCAAAATGCTGCTCTCGCTGAGGCGCCGGCCTCATTTTCGGGCCCCGCTCGCTCCGAATCGTGCCCCCGCTGCAGCGCTGGCATCATTTCCGTGCTTCCGCTCGTTCCGAATCGTGCTCCCGCTGCAGCGCTGGCCTCATTTCCGCGCTTCCGCTCGTTTTGATTCGTGCTCCCGCTGCAGCGCTGGCGTCATTTCCCGTGCCATGCCACGGCATGCAATGCAATGCTAGGTTGATACGACGCTTCGCGGTGCTCTTCTACGCCATGCCACGCCGTGCTCTACAATGCATCGCGTACCCTTTCGGGATCATTGCCCTGCTCAACATCCGACTGTGCGAGTAGAGAGGGGATCTGCGCCATGGTAAGGGATGGGAGGGAGGGGTAGGATGTCAGATATGACGCGAGCGCACCTAGCTTGCCTTCCCCCTCTCTCCCTCCCCCTCCCCTTCTCCCCCCCCCCTCCCCCTCCCTCCCCTCTCGCTGCTTCCCCTCTCGTGCTGCCCTTCTCTTTTTGCGATCGCCTGCACGTGGGTTTGTTTGGCTCTTGCTCTCGCGCTCCCCCCCAGACAGCTCCTAGACTTCTGTGCGCGATCCCCGAGGAAGCGGAAGAGGAGGCGGGGCAGGGAGGCGAGGCGCTAGATCGAAGAGTAAAAAACACCATAAACATAACATGTTGTCGCTTTGCGCGGATTTCTTGGATCCGCGCCAGGCCCCCCTCCTTGGCGCGCGGAGCGCGCCAGGTGCGGCGCCGGAGGCGCCGCCTTGGGGGCCCCAGCGCGGATCCAAGAAGTCCGCGCGGAGTGCCAAAAGTTGTTGTTTATGGCGTCTAGCATCAGCATTATTATTACTATTCTTCTTATTATGATTCTTCTTCTTACAATAGCTCGCCCGAGAAAAAAGGGGGGAGGGGGAGGAAGAGCAGGAGGAGCCACGAGACTCCCGGGGGCCTCCCGGGGTGACCGCCGTGCCCGAAGCTGGCCCCGAAGCGGCCCAGCGCCCGCCGTCCCCGTGGGAGCGGACGTTTCCTTATTGTCGGCGTCTCGGCACTGGGCGGAGTGGAAGGAGGAGGAGGACGAGGAGGAAAAGGAGGAGGAGGAGGAGGAGGAGGAGGAGGCTGCGGTCGCTGGACCCACCAGCTCGGGACCTCTGCTCAAGGCGACGGTCTGCAGCAGTGCTTCCTCTGGGGGAGGCTCCTCCCGCTTGGAACAGGCGCCGACAAAAAGGCCAAGATCTACTCCATGGCTATGATGCTCCAACCTACTTTAGCCTTGATCACCAGAAAGAATTCCGAGCGCCAGAAAAAGTGCCGAAACTCAGGGGTTTTCACGTGTCGGGTCCTGGGAGACACTCGCCCGACACTGTTTCGACACTGCTTCGACACTCTTTTGACACGTTCCCGGATGCTCGAAATGACTTCTGGGATCTGCGGTCCTTGAGCAGGATGGGAACAGCATAACTCCATGGGCGGGGGGGGGAGGCGAGGGGGGTGCGAGGGCCCGCGCCGATCGGCAAAACAAGGAAGAAGGAAACGGTCGCCAAGCAAAGTCCAGCACGCCCTGATCGGGCATCGCTTCGGCCAGAGCTGGCGGACTCGCGGCCCCCGGCAGGCCTCCGCAGGGCCCGAGGTGGTGCTCCCCGCGGGGCGTCGCCGGGAGAGGCCGCCCGGGTGGCGGCAGAAGGCCTCCCCGAGGGCGCCCAAGACGGCCGACCACTGCTCTGCGCAGCGGCCCACCCACGGAGGAAGATCCTCGGAATCCCGCTGGTTGGGTCGACCGGCGGTTCACTTTTCGGTTCCAGCATGGCTTCAAGAATCTCCTCCTCCTCCTCCTCCTCCTCCTCCTCCTCCTCCTCCTCCCCCTCCTCCTCCTCCTCCTCCTC